GTTTTCTCTCATCTGTGAGTTCACAGACACACCAAGTGAAGGGCCAAAGAGGCATTTAATAAGTTGATGCAGTTTTTGTCATCTGTTACATCATAATCATGAGGAAGTAGAAAAGAAGTCAGATTGGTATCTTGTTCTCAAAACAGTTTTTCATGACCCCTTTAAATAATTAGTGTATTCTTAAGTCATAGTTTACTATAATTTTAAGTGATTTTGATGTATATTACAAATCTGTTATATTATTGAATGAACAGTATTGTGCAGAACTTGATGACTGATATTTCCATTTCCCAACATTTATTTTGCAATTGCAGTTAATTGCAATTAGAGTGATTTAATTATGCACAGGTATTTTGCACAATATTGTACTAAATGTTGTTTTGTTGTTTTTCATAAAATATATAAGTATATTAAAAAATACTCATATATTTTTAGCTGCACATTATTGTAGCGTCACAATCATTTTAAATTGTAAAGAAATAGTCCAAAAAGTTTAAGGCAATCAAAATTGCTGAAGTTGCAGTGGCCTTGTCTGATCTGTGTTGTACCATTGAATTTTTGTGTGTAAATGAAGATGTCAGTACAGACATGCACTGCCCATTTAGAGCTGTTAATCGTGACCAAAGTTTTAGCTAAGGTTAATATAGTACAGTTTTTGATAAATGTCTGTTGAGGCCACAACGTTTGGCTTTTATCCTAAGATCTTAGTGACAAGCAGCAATTATAATGGACTGTGAAAACTTTGCACTCTTTGGTGTTTTCCAGTAATTTATTCTTTTTTTGTTGTTGTTGTTCTGTTGATTTTACAGTTGTCTACTCAATGGGTCACAGTTGTTCCTGCTATACTCACCATTCTTAGATGACATGTAAGTGTTACTGCCATCTGTAACAACACTGAAGGCTGTTAACTTGTGTTGCTCTGCTTCAATTTTTTCTCCACACTTTTCATAGGCTACCGCCTTTCGTGTGACACGTTTAGCAACACATTTACATTTAAATGGCTCTGGACGGCTGTATGGACTGCATGTGGCCATTGTGATGCTAAGAAAAAAAATACACAGAAAGGGTAATTACAAGTGCATCTCAATAAATTAAAATGTCGTGGAAAAGTTAATTTATTTCAGTAATTCAACTCAAATTGTGAAACTCGTGTATTAAATAAATTCAATGCACACAGACTGAAGTAGTTTAAGTCATTGGTTATTTTAATTGTGATGATTTTGGCTCACATTTAACAAAAACCCACCAATTCACTATCTCAACAAATTAGAATACTTCATAAGACCAATAAAAAAAAA